TTCATATGATGTCATCACTTGTGCATGTGATGTTATCATTTGTGCATGTGATGTCATCACTTGTGCATGTGATGTCATCACTTGTGCATGTGATGTTATCATTTGTGCATGTGATGTCATCATTTGTGCATATTATGTTCTAGATATATAAGCAGACACACATGCTTCACACCTTCTTGGCCAATTGTTCTACCAATATGTGATGACTGCCTTTGTCTCTTCAAACTGACCTTCAGTCTTCTTGGAGGTCTCGTGTTTTCTTACAAACTACTACAGTCATTTGTGGCTTCTTCCCAATTCTCATTGCTTGGGTATTCTTCTAGTAACAATCATTCTTTTTGTGTGTTTATGATGGTGTTTGTATTTTTTTGTATCTAGATTTCTTCTGGTATTATATGTGGTGCTAATTTAGTGGTTATAAATTTCTCAGTTTTTATGCTTATTTTAGAAAGTCTTTACTTCTTGTTCAGCTTTGAAGGATACCTTTGCAGGATATAGTAGTTTAGTTTGGCAGTCCTTTTCCTTTTTTTTTTTTTTTTTTTTTTTTTGGTGGTGGTGGTGGGGGTTGAAACAGGGTTTCTCTGTGTAGCCCTGGCTGTCCTGGAACTCACTTTGTAGACCAGGCTGGCCTCGAACTCAGAAATCTGCCTGCCTCTGCCTCCCAAGTGCTGGAATTAAAGGTGTGCACCACCACCGCCCAGCTTGGCAGTCATTTTCTAGCAGTCTCTGAAGCACAGCAACCCATGCCATCTTGAGTTTTATAACTTTTGGTAAGAAAAATCAGGTTTCTTTTTTTAATGATTATTTTGTCTTTATCACTGATTTGGATTTTCCTCTTTGCAACTTTAAATTTTCTCCATTGTCACAATCTTTTGGTATTTTAACTATAATGTATTGTGGTTCTTTTTTTAGTCATGTCTAGTTAGACACTAAATGCTTCCAGTATCGGGTTATCTATTGGAAAATACCTTGTTAGCTTTTACATTTTTTGAAGAATTATAAAAAGCTGCTATTGATTATAGTTCCTGGGCAGGCTTGTTATGGGTATAAAATGTTTAGGTAAATTCCAAGGGTTAACATGGTAAAGGTCAATTTTCCTAATCTCTTTTAACTCAGTGGTAAAGTTGTGTTTGTGTCCTATCAGTAATGAGTGAACATTCCTGTTTCTTCACACCATTTTGGATATTCAACAGGGTTAGTGTTACAGTTCTGAGCCATTTTGTCTGTAATGGCATTTTACTTTAATGTGGGTTTTCTTTTCTTTTTAGCACATTTACTTACTGCCCACCTCTGGCAAAATGCTTGCTGATTCTTTTGATCTGATTGTGTTGCTTGCTTTCTTATTGATTTGTGTGTACTCTTTATATATTTTTGGATACCAGAACTTTAGTAGATACTTTATAAAGGCTTCCATCACTCCAATTCCATGATTTCTCTTTACATCTTAAGTGTGCCTTGCACATAAAAAAAGTTGTTAATTTTAATGAAATCTAAGTTGTCAATTCTTTTTTTTATAGGTCATGTTTTTGAAGTTTCATCTTTTAAAACGCCAATGCCAAATCTCAAGACTTTGAGCAATATCATCCATCTTAACTTAATTTTTTGTGATAGTTATAACATATGTCCTTAGATACATAGCTCTAAACATAGGTTTCAAGTTGTGCTATAGCACTATTTGTTGAGAAAGTTATCTTTTTTTTTCCATTGAGTTACCTTTGGTTTTAATCAATTTTTATTTTATTTTATTTTATTTTATTTTATTTTATTTTATTTTATCTTATTTTTTGGTTTTTAGAGACAGGGTTTCTCTGTGTAGCTCTGGCTGTCCTGGAACTCACTCTGTAGACCAGGCTGGCCTCGAACTCAGAAATCCGCCTGCCTCTGCCTCCCAAGTGCTGGGATTAAAGGCGTGTGTCACCACTGCCCGACAGTCAATTTTTGTATAAGTCTAATTCTGGGACTTTTCTCTTCTTATGATTCATTGATTTACTCTTTTGTGATACATCTTAATTACTGTGGTTTATATTACAGTAAGTATTGAAGTTGAGGTGTTTTTATTTTTTGTTTTGTTTGTTTGTTTTACTTTTGTCTTTTCCTTATCAATTATATTGGCTATTTTGGGTCTATTGTTCTTTCCTTCATTGCATTATTGCCACATTTATGTCCACTTGTGTATCTGAAGATTTCCTGTGGGAGAATAAGTTATTCTCTATTGGTTAGGCTCTACTAGCCAAGAACAAACCACAGACCCAGGACCATTATAAAAAGCTCTGGATATGCCATCCTCCAAGAGTCCAGACTCCAAAGGTCTCTCCGTCTTCACTTCACAGACCCTTCCACCATGAGACTGTATGCGCTTCTCTCTACTCTAGTCTTCCTCTTGGGCCTCTTACCCCGAGGTAAGTTGATGGATAATTATAGGGGGCATATTCAGTTTAAAAGTCTCTCTGGAAAGTCAGAGATTAATTAATTTTACAGTTTCAGAAACCCAATATCCACAGCTCCACGAAGGTTATATCAAGATAAACCAGACATACATTGCCATTAACCCAAATGTCAAATGGGGTCACATTGTAATACAACCTTTCTTTGGACTCCTTGGGAGGCATGAAGATGCATAGATGCTTAGTTCTTCTAGGACATTTTGCAGCAGTATTTAAGCAGCATTTATGAGGACATCTACTCTCTTAAAAGAGAGGATGGAAACTCCTCAGGGAGAGGTGATGTTCAATGAGGGTCACAAAGACCTGGATATCTTACGAGAAGAGGCAAATATTCCAACACAAGTGAAAAGTCAGAATCCTTGTTAAACAAGGGGAAGTTAGCATGGGAATGAACTGCAGCAGGAAGATCTCTAAATATACAAGTGGAGATGGAATATATTATACACATATATAATAGATCTTCTAATTAGAAAATTAGCTCACTGGTTCTGTGAGATGGGTCAAAATATAAACCAACAAAACCCAAGGTAACACACCTTGTGAAAGTTGTTATACATGAAAAATGCATCGCAAAATGAACCTGTAGAATGAGAAGAGAAAAAGAACTGTGGACAAATAATAAGCAAAGACGCCAAGTTGTAATATCTTGGTACATAACAAGTTTATGTACAGTAATTGAAAACACAAGGATGGGTGTAAAGAATGGTGAATGAGTACAAAATTTAGTAGACTGAGCATGGATTATATGAGTTTAGAAAAAAATCATAATAAATCCAGAGAATAAAGGGGAAAGAGTCAACAAACACAAGAAACAGAGAACAAAAAGAATAACAAAACAAAAATATTGTATACTCCACAGTAATCTGGTATTATTGATCAAGAAAAGATTGGATCACACTTAAAATAGCTCCTTCACAAATGATGGAGTTGATAGCATAGTAGGCATTCCTAAGATTCAAAAATTAGAAGATTTATTACAATAGTGTGTGATGTATTCACCTCTTGTATATTTAGGGATCTTCCTGCTGTGGTTCATTGTATCAGTGATTTTACACTAATCAGATTCCTAAGTTATCATCACCAAGATACAGATATGCTATTGTTTATCTGACCTTAAGAAAAGAAAGTTTCCTTGCTTTTCCTGTTTCATTTTGTGAAAAACACCTTAAAATCATAACTTGGAGTCTTGATCTTGAAATCGTCCCCTTTTTATTCTCTCTTAAATATATCCCCATCAAACGTTCTCCCAACCCTCCCACTCTGTTATTGAAATTGCTTTTGCCTTTAGCCATTCATAGAAAAGCTTTCTCTTTCTCCCTGCACACTCATGAACAATCTCCATGCTGCTGGCCCAACCGCCATCCATTCCTCATTGTTAACTATCTGTTGGCTGATTTTCCAATGTCAGCCCCTCACCTCTTCATGATCTTCCATATTCAGCCATTCTGTTCTGGGGTAGAAGCATCACTAGTTTCTCAGCCTAGCTCATCAATGACTCCTCCTCAGTGTCTGCCACTTTTCCCTCATCTTTTCTGGTGATTCTTCTTGGAGGGGAGCTCCAGGGTTCAGTTCCTGGCCCTTCTCTACTCCCATTCACTTTAAGGGACTTAGTGAGTCTCATTTCTTTAAATCCTCTGTTGGACTTTTTCACTAGCACTCTAGACTGGAGTATAGGATCCAATGGTACATCTGATTCCATTTAGATGTTTGATTTCAAAACTTGTATGTCTAAAATAGAACTCATGATGTCTCTCAGATTCCTCTGTGAGGAGTTTCTGCACCTTAGTGCTGTGACTGTCATGTCAGGGGGATTCCTTGGATCTCCACTTATCTTTAGGGATTTTCCATTGCTGTACCACAAAGGGGCTCTGTTCAGGTTTCTGTCTCTCTCACTCCATTTTGGGTATTGGGTGGCTCATACCCCAAATGTGTCTTGGCTATTCCCCTGTCATTAGACCTTACTACTCTCTACTTGTATATTTGTAGCTAAAGAAAGAGATTTGTTTTCTCAGATCCTGTGTTCCTTTTACAGGGGGGAATGATATGATTTAAGACTCCACGTAAGATTTTTTTTAAAGATTTATTTATTTTATATATGTGAGTACATTGTTGCTGTCTTTAGACACACCAGAAGAGGGCATTTGATTGCATTCCAAACAGTTGTGAGCCACCATGTGGTTGCTGGGAATTGAACTCAGGACCTCTGGAAGAACAGTCTTAACCACTGAGCCATCTCTCCAGCCCCTCAAATTAAGTTCTTAGTAGTTTCCAATTCAGACCTCAAATTGGAATATCCCCTGCATGCCTGCTACATGTAGTTTTCTTGCTTACCGTATATATCTTATTCACCAGAAGGTCATGAAAGAGAAGGAGTCAGAATGTGATTGAGGCCCTGGGGATGCTTAAAAAAAAAAGCATCACTCCACCTTCAGATGTTTGTTTGAAGTTTAGGACACTCTTCTCATGGCAGCTGCTTCTTCCTCCTGTCACTCAACCACACACGAACAATCTACCAGTCTCTCCCCTGTAGCTTGGCAAAGCTCAGTTAGCTTTCACTGAGACCCCAGCTCCTACAGTGAGCTTTAAAACCAAGGATCTATTTTAAAAGCACTATCCAACTTGTGCTCTTTCTTGGGAAAAGAACAATTGCTTTTGCAATGTTTTATATCCTGCCTTAGTTAGGGTTTTTCTACTGTGAACAGATACCATGACCAATGCAAGTCTTATAAGGACAACATTTAATTATGGCTGGCTTACAGGTCAGAGATTCAGTTCATTTTCATCAAGACGGGAGCATGGCAGAATCCAGGCAGACATGGTGCTGTAGAGCTGAGAGTTTTACATCTTCATTTAAAGGCTGCTAGCAGAATACTCACTTTCAAGCAGCAAGGGCTAGGGTCTTAAAGCCCTTATCCACAGTAACATTCCTACTCTAACAAGGCCACACCTCCAATAGTACCTCTCCCTGGCCCAAGCATATACAAACCATCACATATCCCAAGTGGAGTCAGATTTATTTCTGCTCTTTCTAGATCTACAGATGTTGGATAACACTCAATGATATAAACAGTTTAGTGGTATTAACACAGAATTTTAACTTGGCTCTGAAGTCCATCTCCACTACATTGTTTCCTCCATAAATATTCTTTAGGATTTTCTTTCTTGAAGATGTCTTGGTAAAATGTTTCAATTTTATTAAAAGTTTAATTGTTTTTATTTTATACCTCTGGGTGTTATACCTGAATGTATGTGTGAACACCATGAGGACACAGTGTCCATGGAGGCCAGAATAGGGCATTGAATCCTTTGGAACTGGAGTTACAGATGGTTGTGAGCTACCGTGTAGGTGCTGGGAACCTAATCCAGGTCGTCAGGAAGAGCAGCCAGTGCTCTGAATGCAGATCAATCTTTCCAGGTCCTACTTAATTCTTTTCTTGGAAGGTGGAATTACTGAGAACCCAATTCTATCATAATAGATATTTTATTAACTTTTTTTTTTACAAGCACACTTATTACCTTCATTCTTTGCTGTGACAGTGATATAAATTACTTCACTATACATTATGTCTCAGAGCCTAGCCTGGTGGTACACATCTTTAATCCCATTACTCAGGAGGCAGAGGTAGGTGGATCTCTGAATTTGAGGCCAGCCTGGTCTATATAATGAGTTCCAGGAATCCCAGGGCTACAGAGAGAAAGCCATCTTGAAAAACAAAACAGAACAAAACAATTAGGCCTCAGAATTGCTATCTTATATTGACTTTTAATGTTTATAATTAATTGACATTTTGTAAAGTATCTTCTAAAGGACTCTTCTTGATTTACTGGGCTTATTCTTCTACATGACTTACCATGAAATCTCTGTAAACATTGGTTCCCTTATGCTTTCCTTTTGTGGTTTGTTATAGTTACATCAGTCTTTTGGTTTAATACTGTTGCCTTCCGGGTAAATAATTCAAATATGTCTCTTTCTTCACAAGTTCTCTTGTCACCAATATATACTTTGTCATTAACATTTTGTCTTGTCAACATTTTCATCTGTAGTTTATATTCCTCACACTGGCCCATTCTTTCTATCATCTATGGTGTCTTCCTGTTGTTGTTTTCTTTTATACCGCCCCCAACACACTGCACACACACAGGAAACTAGTAGTCTATGACTAAGATACACTTAGCCACTGAAATAGATAGTGCAGGACTAAACAGGGGAAGAAAACACAACTTCTGCTTCTTTCTAAGCTTGGAGGAGTGATTCAATCAAGATAGAGAGTAAGATACTGGCTTCCATCCCACTCACACACAATTGCCTAACCAAAGTCTCCTGTGAGGGCTCAAAGGCCCTCTAAGGGTGCTCAGGAGCACAGAGGAGCAAATGGAAAAGAAAATCTGATTATCCACACAAGAAGGATGTCTGTGAGATTAGCATCCAAAACCACCAGGGATGCCTATGAACAAAGACAGAAGTAACTGTATTGACCACACTCATGGTTCTCAAGCAGCGTGCTCTGCAGAAGACACTCAGATGTTTTCCCATTAGGGTAACCAATAACCAGCCCTCCCAGGGAGACGGAAACAGAGAGATGAGGGACACCTTAGCCATCTCTACATAGAAGTAGACACTGTTGTTTCACACCAGGACTGGAGCTCCCAACTCTCCTAGTCAGGATCGTGTCTTTGGGCACCAATGTTGCAAACACCCCGAGTGGACCCAGTATCAGGACCCACTCTCTTTCTTACAACCGCACTCACTCCTTGAATCCTGAATCATTTGCATATTGAGCTAGTTCACAGGCAGCCATGCACCAATAGCTCTCTGTGCGTCCCTATGTACCAATTACCAAATCTGTCACTATAATGAAGTCACTCATGCAATAGTTCCTAGTAAGTCACTGTGACCATGTGCACCAAAGTCTGCATCAAAGAAAAAATCTAGAGTCCCTGCTATAAAGAGTTAACTTAGACCCTAGATCTGAAGCCAAATTGTCTCAGTGAATACGAGCGTTGTAGGCACCTGCTCAGTCACATAGACAGGCTCACCCAATGGAAGCACTGTGATGCCGCAATATGAACTAGTCATATACATATATGCATAATCATATACAGCAATTTCATGTTGTATAATATTATATATGTTATCAATTAAAACTAATAAAATAGAATTATTAGCTTAGCATAGACTAGCACTGCAACAGACTACCCCTACAATGTTTTCCCATGGAAATTTGATTCTGCCCCATCAAAAGGGAGAGAGGAAAAGAAGGTAAGCAAAAATGGTAACAGTAAATATCAAGACAGCTGCTGTATGCATCATGAGGGGAGATGAAGTAAGGCGACCACAACATCAGAGATGTGACTCTTCACCCTTACCATGGCCTGTAAGCCTGGTATGAGATGGATCCGACTTCTAATATCACATGACTTTTTCTGACATGCTCCATCCATCCGTCCGTCCATTCGTCCATCCGTCCGTCCATCCATCCAAGTCTTTCCAGAAAAAACTTAGTCTGAGGACTTAGCCCTCAGTGTCCACAGGAGTGTATCCACGGTACTCTTCCTTGGATATTTTCTTATTGTTTTCATGACCCCAGAAAGCAATCTTTGCCAACTGTCTTGATTCCATCTTCCGGGGTATATCTGATTCATCACTGTATGATTTTGTTCAAAACATTTGCCACTTTTTGAATCACCTCATTACTTAAGCTGGTTTTTTGTTGTTGTTTGGTTGGTTTTGTTTGGGTACTGTTGATCTCTCTATCTAATGCAACCTCTGTGTAAATAAGGCATCTGGACTGTTCTATTATTATGAAGAGAAAAGTTTTGTGAGTGAACTACGGAAAGTTTGACATTCTGTATAAAGGATCGAGGCAATCAAAAAATCAGAATATTTAGGGCATCTGTTTTGTCTTGTTTTAGTCTGATATTTAACACAGTAACTTCTGAAGCTTTATCTGGACTTTTCATGTGTTTATAAGAAAACTAAGGAGCAAGCTGTGAATAAGGGAGAATAAGCTGTTGGGAGAAGGGGAGAGGGGTGACTGCAGGGTCACTGTACAGGGTCATTGTACAGGAGCCGCTAGGGGATCTCTGGTCTGGCTCCTTTTCCTCACAGAGAGGCACTCCGCCCAGAATCGTTCTGTCCTTGCATGTAAGGATGCCCACGATTTGACACTCACACCCTGACCTGTCACTTCTCTGGTTTCCTCTCTGCAGTTAGAAGTGGTTTAGGTGCATCCGAGATGCACTGTACCAATCTGCAAGGCATTTGCAGAAGAGACATTTGCAAACTGATAGAAGACGAAATTGGTGCTTGCCGGAGACGATGGAAATGTTGCAGGCTGTGGTGGATTCTCATACCTATTCCAACACCAGTTATCTTCTCAGACTATCAAGAACCCCTCAAGAGTAAGATAAAGTAAGACCATAGTAAACACAAGGCCACACAGAGAAACCCTGTCTCAAAAAACAATACAAATTAAAAACTGTAATAAAAACTCAACAGATTAACAACTGGCAACAATGAAGAAAAAATTATAAAACAGCTCACATGGCCGGCTAACACGGCAGAACCTTCACATGGAACACGTGCAGCTCTTTATCAAAGTTCTATTCAGCTTGCCAATAAACATAAATACTGATTTCAAATATGCCCAGATACCATTTCTTTATGACATTTCAAAATTTAAATAAAAGATTTAAATACAAGAAACTTTCTTTGAGCTAGAAAAATGCTGCCCTTCCAGAGCACCTGAGTTCAGTTCCCAGCACACCCATGTTGTCTTACAGCCATCTCTAACTCCATCCATTTCCAGGGGACCCAACACTCTCTTCTGACTCCACAGCACCGGGCATACACTTGGTATACATATGTGTATGAGGTTAAATAAAAATACCTCTAAAATAAAAATAAAACTCATTTAAAAAATGTTGTTTCCAGGCCTGGCAGTTGTGATACATGTCTTTAATCCCAGCACTTGGGAGACAGAGGTAGGTGGATTTCTGAGTTTGGGGCCAGCCTGGTTTACAGAGTGAGTTCCGGGACAGCCAGGGCCACATAGAGAAACCCTGTCTCAAAAAAAAAAAACAATAAAAATTAAAAACTGTAATAAAAACTCAACAGATTAACAACTGTCAATAATAAAGAAAAAAATTATAAAACAGACAAATACTCTCAGACAGAGCCAGTAAGCTAAATTAAAAGACAGGACACTGAGAGTTTGCTGATCATGTCAGAGTGGAGAGAGTGTTGCTGGGAGAGGGGAGAAGAGAGAACCGGAGCAAGGTTAGAAGAAAATAATTTGGAATAATACTTTAAGTTCATGAGAATTAATCAGAAACATATGAAAGCAAAGAAAGCGAGCAGTGGGGGTGACAGGAGGAGGAGGAGCCTCTGAAAGCTAATAGAAGAGACTGAAACTCTTACAGCTTCCGTGTGTGTGTGTGTGTGTGTGTGTGTGTGTGTGTGTGTGTGTGTGTGTGTCGGGGGGAGAGCATTGAGACAGGTTTCTCTGTGTACCTTTGGCTGTCTGAAACTCAGTCTGTGGACCAGGCTGGCCTCAAACTCACAGAGATCCACTTGCTTTTGCCTCCCGAGTGCTGGAATTGAAAGTGTGTACCACCACTGCTCCGTGCGGCTTCATTAATCAATGGAAATGTTTGTTAAATACTTCAAAAGGGGAGATCTTAGCTGTCTTAGGGTTTCTATTGCTGTGACCAAACAGCAAACCCAAAAGCAAGTTGTGGAGGAAAGGGTTTATTTGGCTTACATTTCCATAGCATTGTTCATCACTGAAGGAAGTCAAGACAGGAACTCGAACAGGGCAGGGACCAGGAGGCAGGAGCTGATGCAGAGACCATGGGCGGGGAGGGGTGCTTCTTACTGGCTTGCTCAGTCTTCTTTCTTAAAGAATCCAGGATCAGAGCCTAGGGTTGGCACCATCCACAATGGGCTGGGCTTTCCCGCATTGATCACTTATTAAGAAAATGCCCTACAGCAAATCTTACAGGGGCATCTTCTCAATTGCGGTTCCTTCCTGTTGAGCCCCTCGTCTCTTCTCCCCCTCCATACCAGCGGTGGCGGTGCATGGAAGGCGGGCACAGCAGCCTGCCCAAACGCCTGATCGCGCGCACCTCCTGCTGTGGCTGTGGGGTCCCTGTGGACGTGTCAGAACCCACACAGGTCACTCTGTTCGCGTGTTCCACTCAACCCTCTTCCCCTAGCCGGAAAGGGTGGCTGGACCTGTGTGGTGCGGTGCAGGCCCTTCCCGTCTAGTGTGTGCACGCTGTTGGGCCCCATTTTAGCCCCTGTTTGGGCCTTAAGGACAAACCCGAGCCTGTCTTAGTCACTTCCTACCGGGGTGACTCAACAGGACCTATTTGGTCCTGCCTCTGCTCAGCTGTTGCTAATGTAGAGCTTTGCCATTGGCCCTGTCAGTCACCCCATATCCTCTGTCACCTTTCCCTGCCCACTACGTCATCTCACCCCACCAAAACTCCTCTTTCTTATGCTCCAAGTTTATATAAATAAGAGGTTGTTACATTAAAGTTGAGTTCCTGCTTCAACAAGACTCGAGTATGATGTGTTTCTTTGGGCCACAGACACTCACCATCCTGCTCGGCTCCAGAGAGACCCGGTGGGACCGGGACCTCTCTCTCCTCTCACCTGGACCTGCCGATTTTAAGGAGCCGACACCCTCCTTTTAGATAACTCTAGTTTGTGTCAAGTTGGCATATGACTAGGTAGCACATCAACTAACAGTTTGTTGTCTTGCTCTTATGAACAAATGGCACAATTATTTACAGATTATGTCTGTCTTGCACTTACCCAGTCGAATTTCCCCACACAAGAACTAACCATTTTGGGCCAGTTGTGGTGTTGCCCACTTTTAATCACAGCACCTGGGAGGCAGGGAAAGTGGATCTCTGTGAGTTCAAGGCCAGCCTGGTCTACAAATTGAGTCCAGGCCAGCCAGGGCTTTGTTACACAGAGAAACCCTGTCTCAAAAAACTAACTAACTAACTAACTAACTAACTAACTAACTAACTAACTAACTAACCATTTTCCTGTAAATCATGGCCAAGTACTATCAGCACAGGCTGTCAGTATACCTTTCCTGACACGGCATCACTCTGACTACCCTTCATCTTACTCCGTCCACCACAAGGTCTCATTTACTTTAGCTGAATGTAACAAGGCCTGAGTTCTAGCTCAGAGCCTCAGCTCAGAAGGGAATTTGTTGCTGGGAATTGAACTTAGGACCTCTGGAAGAGCAGCCAGTGCTCTTAACTGCTGAGCTATCTCTCTTGTTCATCAGAAGGGCATTTGTAAAGGACTACATATACCACTTCATCTAGCCGTGGGTTGTCAGCTAGAGCTACAATACTAGGCATGAATCTGTGCCAGGAACCAAACTTGGGACTGCCATAAGACAACCAGCGAGCTTAACTGCTCCGAGTCCCTGCTGTCATTTATTTATGTGTTTGTTTGCTTGCTTATTTGTATGTGGCATTGCTTGCCCTTATGTCTGTGCATCATGTGTACGCAGTGTTTGCAGAGGCCAGAAGAAGGAGTTCCCCTGGAACTGGAGTTACGTACAGAAGGTTGGGAAGTATAGCGTGGGTGCTGAAAAATCAAACTTGGGTCCTTTGGCAGATCAGCCATTCTCTTAAGCTCTGAGCTGCCCTCCACAGCATCTTTAACCCCTTCTCCTTCCCTCTCTTACTCGCACATTACTCCCACCCTGCTTCACAGTATCTTACCTGCGTCCTGCTGCTATTCCAACACTGACATTCTCTAAAGTAAAACTTGGATTCTCTTATTCTCCTTATATTAATAACAGGTAAGATTTTCACTCACTGAAATTCAAGTCTCAGAAACATACCTACTTAAATAAAATCTACGAGGCCAGTGTTACTACAACTTGGATTAATATTCAATGTCAATTTGCATTAGTGACAAAATGAAAGACTGATAAAGTGTCAAGTAACAGAATTTATTGGTTCAAAAGAATTACATCTCAAGTGCAATGAATCAACAAGTCCCCACAGTATGTGCAATACAGAAAACTCAAGAGAATTTTTTTTTTTTACAGGAAATATCTATAAATGTGCTTTTGCTTGTGGGCAGTGAGTTATGGCCTACCTTGCTCAAAGCCAATGAGTTCCAGCAGAGGGCACTGCAGACTTCACCCAAGAATCCAGGAACTTTCTGGAGTTTAACTTTTATTAGGCAGTTTCTTCCACTTCCAAATCTCTCAGGGACTCAAATGGGAGCGGGGGTGGGTGGGAGGTGGGAGGGGTTGGGGTAGGAGGGGGCGGGGAGGGGTGGCAGACAAGGACACAGCAAACAAATGGAGACCTCCCGAAGGGTGGGCAAATCTATTGCTTGCTCCTGGGGCATCCTCAGATCTCACAGTGTGTCCGCAGTACCAGGGTAGACTGACAGTAAGCAGCTAGAAGCCTCTGCCCTTGCTCACTCTCCTTCCCCTTAGCTCTTTGTTTCCCACCCAGAGCAGTCTGCAATAAGGGGTAATTCTTCTTGTCAGAACAGTTCTTCCCCTAGTCCCTCTGAACCATAAATTGTGTCTGAACTGGTGAATCACAACTGTGTGGGCTGGTAGAGTGGGTTCAGTTATCCTGAAGCTCAGCGCAGGCTGTGGGCAGCTGAGCTCCTGAAGTGCTTTCCACTGTTAGGGCATTTCTTTTGGTTGCTATATTCTCTTGGGCATGGGCAGCTTCCATGCAGGATCCTGTTGAGTGTTCTCTGCCAGACTTCCCAAACTTGGTAAGAGTCCCTGTTTGCTTTGCCTACTGGGCATGGAGACTGTCTTTTTTGAGATCAGTCTGCTGGATGTCTAAGAGCACATGGGCAGGCTCCCTTAGGACAGAAGTCACATCACACCTGGTGACCTTTGAATCACCCAGCTTATACCACTGGCCATTGCCAACTTTGACATAACAGAGGTAATGTTCTTTGGGACAAGTCACACTGACATGGACCATCACAACATAGAGGGCACACACGATTGTTCTCTATTAGGCTGAGACGTGTTACAGCTCAAGGGACTTAAGATAGCTCACTTCCCTGTCCACTTTGTGAAGTCTGAGAGGCGATTCAACACCATCAGGAGAACCTTCAAAGAAGTTTGCACAGTCAGGGTCTTGGGAACCTACATGTTCCCCTGACAACTGCCACAATGGTAGGTCTGTGTATGTGGTCTCCCCTGCCCTCCCAAGCTCTTCCTCCTTCATTAATATCCTCCAAGGCTTCCTTCACCTCTCAGCCACCTTGATATCCAATGGGATGAACAGGAAGGGGTCAAAGGTACCTGAGGTGCTCGGGCAGAGGAGATGCTTGGGCAGAGGAGATGCTTGATCTGAGATCTCCAGGAGCCTCCAAGTATCATCTCATGGGCCAGGG